GAGGCCCTGCCCCTCTCTCTGACCTTTGCTCCTCTTCTCTGGTCTTCTCTGGGCTCTGGCCTCACAAGCCCGTTTCCTTGAACACCCCACATCCCTTCCCACCTTAGCACCTTTGTCCCTCAGCTTCCCTTGTCTGGCATGCTATCCGCTCTCTGCCTCTCGACCTGCATGCATCTTGAGGTCATAGCCCAAGGGTCACGGCCCCAGGGGATCCACTCCCTGTGGTTGATGGTCCTCCTTCCCCTGAATGCTCTACAGCAGGAGGTGTGAGTCTGCGTCCCCGTCACTCTCAGAGCCTCCTGCCCAGCTCTCCTAGCCCCCTGGCTCCCAGAGGACAAGTCCGGGTGGAGGGGCAGGGGTCTGATTGCCAACGAGCCTCTTCCCTTGCTTGGTGTCCTTGTGGCTGGAAGTGCCCGAGGAGTCAGGATCCCTTGTGATCAGACCCCAGAAACTGGAGTGTGTCCCCACTGCCCCATTTCACAGCAGTGTCTCCTCCCTCCGCTAGGGGAGAACGGTCATAAGCCCCCACCACCCCGAATCTCAGGAGGCTTCCCTGCCCGGGTCCAACCAGCAAGCCTGGAGACACCTCCTCCCAGAAGGCAGGAAAAATGGGGCCGGGCGTGATGGCTCATACTGGTAAACCCAGCATTTTGGGTATGCCAAGGCAGGAGGATTGCTTGAGGCCAGGAGTTCGAGACCAATCTGGGCAACATAGTGAAACCTCGTCTGCACAAAAAAATACAAAAATTAGCCAGACGTGGCAGTGGGTACCTATAATCCCAGCTACACAGGAGGCTGAGGCAGGAGAATGGCATGAACCCGGGAAGTGGAGGTTGCAGTGAGCCGAGATCACACCACTGCACTCCAGCCTGGCGACAGAGCGAGACTCTGTCTCAAAAAAAATTAAAAAATTAAAAATAAATTAAAAATGAAGTCAGGGAGAATAAGGGAATGGGCCCTACCCTGGCCAAGTCCCAGTCCAGGGCTGTATGGGGTTGGTCCTGAGCTAGTCGTGTTGGGATCAAGCCCCTTGCTGGGGGTCTGAGCGGGAGCAGAAGCCCCCACCTTGGGAGGCAACACCGATCACCCCAGCTGCTGGCGCTCCGTGGATGCCGCAGCGAGGTTTGTGGTGGGGGAGTGAGGTCTGTGCTGGGGGAGTGAGGTCTGTGCTGGGGGAGTGAGGTCCGTGGATGCTGCAGCGAGGTCTGTGCTGGGGGAGTGAGGTTTGTGTTGGGGGAGTGAGGTCTGTGCTGGGGGAGCGAGATCTATGCTGGGGGAGCGAGGTCTGTGCTAGGGGAGTGAGGTTTGTGCCAGGGCCTGACACTGGTGATAAGAGCTGGGCCGCCACTCCCTTCTCCGCCCTGCTGGAGGGCGCTGGATGTGGGGGGAGTTTGTTCACACCCTGGGAGAAGTCAAAGGTCTCCCCACTTTAGGGACAAATGGAAACAGAAATCTGGAGGGTGGCCCCGAAGTCCTAATCCAAGCCCGCTCTCAGGATGGCTGTGGCCTGCACACCTACTGTGTCTGTCTCCGGAAGCCTCACCATCGCCCCCTGTCCGCCCCACTCCTGTGTCTCCCGTTCCCTAGTGGGAACTTGTCCTTGGCCTCAGTTTTTCTCACATACGTGGTTCATGTTGGTGAGGGCGCACACAGTAGGTGTGGAGGGAACAGGCGGCAGGTGGAGAGGCTCCGCTTCTCCTCCTGCCCGGCCCCAGAGCAGAACAAAGGCCACAGTCAGGAGGATGGCTCGCTGCCTGTCCCGGTGCCAGGGCCTTGGCGGGAGCACCCAGGCCTCGGGGCTGGGCAGAGGTGGTGGCCGAGTGGGGGCCCCCACTGGCTGCTCCACCCAGTGACTCAGCCCCAGGACAGACCTCCTCAGGGAAAACAATGGTGGCTTGTGGTTGCCGGCAGAGCCTCCTGGCAGGCGTGAGCCCCAGGGTGTCCTGGGGCCCAGGGAGGAGATCTCTGAGTCTCAGTTTCCTCATCTGTACAATAGGTGGAACCACACAGGCGGGAGGACCTCACAGGAAAGAGCCACACTCAGGACTAGACAAGGTGTCCTTGATGGATCATCCTGCCCAGGACAGCAGGGACTGGGTCCGTCACCATCCGCAGCGCTACAGTGCCCAGCACAAGGCCCCGTACAGTGTCAGAGCCAATCATTGAATAGTCCTGCCCGGCGTGGTGGCACAAACCTATAATCCCAGAACTCCGGGAGGCCGAGGCAGGAGGATCACTTGTGCCTAGGAGTTCAAGACTAGCCTGGGCAACTATAGGGAGAACTCCGTCTCTATAAAAAGTACAAAATTAGCTGGGTGTGGTGGTGTGTGCCTGTGGTCCCGGCTACTCGGGAATTTGAGGCAGGAGGATCGTTTGAGTCCAGGAGGTCGAGGCTGCAGTGAGCTGTGATCTTACCACTGCACTCCAGCCTGGGCGACAGAGCAAGACTTTCTCAAAATAATAATAATAACAGTAATAATAATAATAATAATAATTGGTCCATGAATGGATGGTTGCTTCCCTTCCATGGGTGAAACTAAAGGGCTCCTTGGGGGGACTCTGGCTCCCACACTATGGCTTGGACCCAGAATGTGAGTGGCCCACATTGCGTGAGGCTCCAGACCAGCCTTCAAGAGCCCCCTACACTGGAATGGGGAGAGCCAGACCCGGCCCCAGACACCCTCAGACCCATGGAATCAGGGCTGGGCCACAGGGGAGGGCCGAGGGCTGAAGAGACTGGAGTGGGATTGGAGCTGCTTAGAGACCCTCGCTCTGGAGAGGTGTCTCAGTGGGGGTGGCTGAGGAAGGCAGGCATCAGCTGTGAGCACCTACTCTGTACCAAACGCCCCCCCTTCCACTGTCCAGATGGGGAAACCGAGGCCCGGAGAGTAGCATGAACTTGCCTGAGGTCAGAGTGAGGTGGAGAGGGATGAGGGATTGCGGCACAGACTCCGTGACCCACAGCCCTCTCCCCAGACCTGCAGCATGTGGGGAACTCTCTGGGCACAGAGGGTGACTGTGGACAGCCCAGGTGTATAGCAGGAGGGGCTTGTGGCTTTGGTGGGGGGCCCCTGTGGCCCTGCCTCCCCACTGGCCTGGCCTAGGAGCGGCATTGAACTGTGATGACTCAGGGGCTCCAGATAGGGGTGGGAATAGCCTCCCAGGTAGAGGGTACAGCAAATGTAGAGGTCCAAGGTGGGGATGAGCTTAGCAGGTGCTGGACCATCCAGAGGGCGGGATGGCTGGAGCCAAGCGGGCCAGCGGGATAGCGGCATCTTCCCAGGCTGGAAGTGGAGCATTTCCCTTTGGGGCCCCAGGGAGCCCTGGGAGATTGTGCTATTTTCATTTATGTGTTTAGTTATTTATTTTTTGAAACAGAGCCTCCTTCTGTCACCTACTCTCCAGTGCAGTGCTACGATCTCCACTCATTGCAATCTCCGCCTCCTGCCTCAGCCTCCCAAGTAGCTGAGATTATAGGTGTATGCCACCACGCCCAGCTAATTTTTGTATTTTTGTTTTATTTTACTTATTTATTTTTTAGAGACAGAGTTTTGTTCTTATTGCCCAGGCTGGAGTACAATGGCGCCATCTCGCTCGTTGCAACCTCCACCTTCCGGGTTCAAGCGATTCTCCTGCCTCAGCCTCTCGAGTAGCTGGGATTACAGGCACCCGCCCCCATGCCCGGCTAATTTTTGTATTTTTAGTAGAGACTGGGTTTCACTGTGTTGGCCAGAGTGGTCTCGAATTCCTGACCTCAGGTGATCTGCCCGCCTTGGCCTCCCAAAGTACTGGGAATACAAGTGTGGGCCACCGCGTCCGGTCAACTTTTTAAATTATTATTTTAAATGATTTAAAAAATTTTTAGAGACGGGTGTGGGGGGGGGTTTCACTATGTTGTTCAGGCTATTCTCGAACTCCTGGCCTCAAGGCGATCTTCCCGCCTCGGCCTCCCAAAGCGCTGGGATCACAGGCGGGAGCCACCGCGCCCTGCCCTAGGCGGGGTCACTTTTTGCTAAGATGTAGACACGGACTACTAAGAATCAGGAAGCCAGATCTGGCCTGAGTTCTGTCCAAAGTCAGGTCCAAATTCACAGATGCCGAGACGGCGACTCAGGTCGGCAAAGGCACCGCTGAGGATCCCCGTGGAGATCTCTGACCCAGAGCCGGAGCGAGCCTCGGTTTTCCCGCCAGGAAAATGGGTCCGACGTGGCCCCCTTGGGCCCGGGGTACCCGCTCGCACCACTCGGCACGCAGGGCCGGCCCGATCAACGCAAATACAACCAAGCCGAAGGGGCCGCGCGGGCGGCCACGCCAACCTGAGAACAAAACTCCAGGACCCACCCCCGCCGCTTCTCGCGGCCTCTCGCTCGCAGAGTCCCGCCTCTGCCGCGGGGCGGGGCCGAAAAGAAACGAGGCGGGGACTCACCACGAATGGCTAGGATCCCCGCCCATCAGACTTTCAAGCCTTTCGATTGGCCAGACTGTTCTGTCTTATCTTTCAATCTCACGGGCCTTACTCGCTTGCGTCATGGACTAAGCTCACAGCTCGTGTGTGCTTCCGCGGAGGGGGATAGTTCGTGTTTTCTATCTGTCTCGTGGTCCGACCGCCCCCTCTGCGCGTCCCCGCTCCCAGGCTCTGGACCTCGCGGGGATTCGGGGTCCTTACGAGGGTGCTTGGGAGGCCGAGCTGCGGCGTTCGGGCCCGAGCCGCCGGGAGATGGCGGAGGGATCCGCGTGGGCCGCCGGGCGGGGCACCGGGGGCGGGGTAGAGGCGGGGCCTGCGCGGGGCGGGGCGGGGCGGGGCGGCGCGGGGCGGGGGGCGGAACATGTCTCCCGCCGCAGGAAGATGAGGCAGCGGCGGCGGCTGCGGGCGTAGCGGGCCGGAGCCGACGCGGCGGCGGGCACCGCGGGCACCGCGCACGCCGCTGCCCCAGGGGCGCCCCCGGCCGGCCGCGCGCACGGGCCCCGCGGGTTTGACAACCACCCGCGCGCACGGGCCCCGCGGGACGGGCCACGCGGGGGTGGGAGGGGCCCGGGCCACGCGCGCCGCCGCCGCCGCCCACGCGCGACCCTCGGGGGCCCGGCCGCGACGCCCCTTTGTCCGGGGGGGGGCCCGCTTCATGCCACCGCCCCCCACGCGCCGCGTGCCCGGCCGCGCCCAGCAGGTGAGCCCAGCGGGGGGCGGGGGGCGCGGGGCGCGCCTGGGACCCCCGCGCTTTGTGCCCAGGGGACCCCGGCTCGCCTCGCGCCCTTTTTTGGGGGTCACGGAGGAAGTCGGAGCGGGGGCAGCCTCGGGGGGCGCCCCGCGGCCCAGGAGTCATTGTTCTCCAACTTCGCGCGGCGCCGGGGGGGCGGCGACGTGGAGGGGCCCGGAGCTCGCCAGGCCCGCGCCGCCCCCGTCGGGCCGGGCACTTCGGGAAACTTTGCGCAGCCCCGGGCGGGGGTGCGGGGGGCGCCGGACGGGCTGTGCAACTTGGGCGCGAGGACTGCCCCCCCCAATCTGGGCGCACGGGGACCCCGGGGCGCCCCCTTTTTCGGGTAGAGGGGGGCCCGGCCCGGGCGCCGGAGTTTGAGGGGGGAGCGCGCGGGAGGGGCGTCCTTTTGTCTGCGCGGGGAAGGTGCCGCGCGCTGCAGGCGCTGGTCGGGGCCGGGCGGGCCGGTGGGGGGGGGGCGCGCGGGGAACATCTGCTCCGCGTTAATGCGGGGCGAGGCGGCGGCCGCGCTGCGAGCTTCAAAGGCTCCCGGGTCGCGCCGCCTGCACCGGCTGCGGGGGGGAGGGGGTCCGGCTTCCCGGGCCGTCCCTCCCCCCCCCCCGGGGAAAAAGGCGTTTCAGGGCTCCCCCCTTCGGCGCCGCGCAAAGTGGCTTCGAACATCCTCCAAGTCTCTCAAAGTCTTTGGGACGCCCCAGAAGTCTTCCAGCTCCCCTAGAATGCCCGTTTCAGCTCGCCACCCCCCCCAACTAAGTCTGTCTTAAAATCGGTTTCAACTACCCCACGAAAAAGTGCGGTTTCGTAGTCCTCAAAAAAAGTCAGTTTCACACGCCCTCCAAAAAGAAAAAAACTGAGCGGGGGAGGGGCTGCGCTGGGGCGCCCGCTTCACACCCGGCCTCCAGTTGGCAGACAAAGAGGGGATTTCTCTGCTACTTAAGTTGGGTCTCCCTCGACCTCGGAGGCCCCTCCCCACCCCCAGCCTCGGAGGTATCTCCCGGGCTGCCCCCGTCCCCACCTGGGGACCCCTGGGGAAAGTCAAGACTGAAGGGTCCTGGAGTGCATTTCTTTGGGACGGAGATTTTTCTCTGTACCTTTTTCTGGGGGTGGAATGGGTCCTGGCAGGTGGATCCCCCATCCGCCATTCTAGAATGGCGGGGGCACCCTGGTCTTGGGACCCTCTCCCCGCTCAGGGAGGGCGGGCGAGGAATGTTGTCAAAGTTTTGCTTAAAAATAATTCCCGGATACATCGTGACAGTAAAGCAACCTAGGGTTGTTTTTTTTCTTTTTCGAACACTGTTAGGGATTTTTAGGGGGAGGGAGATTGAGGGTGGAGGGAAGCTTTACTGGTGCCTGCATAGAGTGCGCCCCCCCACTTTTAAGTTGTGAAGCTTGTAGAAGAGTTTCGTGGTTTTCTGACTTGTGGATTTCCTTCATGTTGAATTTGGGGGCGACCTGGTCTTCAACGGGCTGTGACGTCTGGTGGGGGGGGATCACCAAATTTCCCTCGGAGTGGGGTAGGGCCGGGCTGTTCCTCCTCTGCCCAGGGGAGTAGGGGGGCCTCAGAGGAAACCCGGGGGTGGTTGGAAATGAGAGACGTGGGGAAAGGAGAGGTTTTGGCTGCCCTGCGTGCAGTTTAAACTTGGCAACTTGATGCCCTGGTGGTCTCTGGGGGAGTTAGGGAGTTTATATTTGCACACCCTCCCCCCATTTTTCAGACTCCCGGTGGCCTCTGGGGAGGGCTCTACAGGGACCCAGACTCTGGAATTCCATCTTCCCTGCCCCTGCTCCCAGGGCTCCGCTGGAACTCAGACCCCAGGGCACTTGAGGGTTTTTTAGGCGGCTTCCCCACTCTGTGTTTTGGCCACTCACACCTCTTTTCTCCTCCCTGTTTCTCCCTGTCCATCTGTCCCCACGTCCACCATGCAGGGTTTCCAGGCCTGAGGTGCCCGCCCTGGCCCCAGGAGAATGAACCAGCCACAGAGGATGGCACCTGTGGGCACAGACAAGGAGCTCAGTGACCTCCTGGACTTCAGCATGGTGAGCCAGGACCCCCGCCCAGCCCCCGACACCCCTTTGCCCCATGGTTCACAGGAAGGTTTTCAGGGGAGAGTGTTTGCTGAATACGTCAGCGATGGAGCCTCAGTTGTTTGGATGGGAGGCTCCGGTGGGGCTGGGGGTGTGCGTTGCTCTGGCAGGAGGCCGACACTGCATGGCAGTGGGTGCGCCATGGGGATCTCACCCGGACGCAGCATGCTACAGTCCACTACTGTACAAATGGGGAAACTGAGGCCTCAGGGGTGTGGTCCTGGGCCCCCAGCTTGGCTGGGTAAGCCAACTCCGGCCTTGATCTTGTGATCTGTAAAATGGACCTGATCAGGGTCACTTCCTCCATTGTAGATAAAAAATTAAAAGTTAAGTAAAAGGCCACTGCGCTCCAGCCTGGATGACAGTGAGACCCTGGAGACCTTGTTTCAATAATTGGGAGGGGGCTGGGCACAGTGGTTCCCCCCTGTCATTCTAGCACTTTGGGAGGCTGAGGCGGGAGGATTGCTTGAGGCCAGGAGTTCCAAGTCCAGCCCAGGCAACATCGTGAGACCCCATTTCTCAAAAAACAAAACAAAACAAAGCAAAAACAAAACTCAAAAAGTTAGCTAGTAGAGGTGGTATATGCCTGTGGTCCCAGCTACACGGGAGGCTGAGGCAAGGAGGATCACCTGAACCCTGGAGGTGGAGGCTGCAGTGAGCTGTGATCGCACCACTGCTCTTCCTCCTGGGCGATAAAGACCCCTCCTCAAGGAAAAAAAGGAGGGGGTGCCTAGTACTGAGCAGAAAACCCTGCATGAACAGGGTGGGCACCACTTTCCCCACACAGGACTGCCCTGGTGGGCAGAGGACACAGGCATGAAACCGACTGTGTGTTTAATTAGTCACATGTGGGTGCTGAAGTTAAGATGCCAGGAGCCGAGCTTGGGCCAGGAGGAGGCTGGGTTAGGATTGAGTAGGAATTCATGGGCCACTCAGCAGACAGCAGCGCCACCATTGTGCCTGTCACGGTTATCACCTCGGAGCAGGCAGGCCCGGTGGGGAGGGCGGGGCGGCTCCCTCAGAGTCTCAGGTTGTTGAGTCTGACCCTGAAAGGCCCATTTTCCAGCTGGATGGATGGAGGCTCAGAGGGTGCTGGTCCTCAGAAGTCACAGGGCCCAGGCAGGTGCAGTGAGGCTGGAATGCCGGAGCGCCCTGGGGTACCGGCTGCTGTGAAGGCCTGGGGCCTCGGTTTACCTGCCGGCGCAGTGGGGCCATGTGTTGTGGATTCCTGGAGAAGCCCAGGGACCTTGGTTTGTTTCTTCTGGCCTGTCTGCAGATGTCGTTAAATCCTGCTCCCGCTACCCCATGCCCAGTAGCAGCGTTTGGGGTTGAAACAGGTTGGAGGAGGGCACTTTCAGTCTGAATTTAACCCTCCCCCATGTGAGGCGCAGGCCCCTGAGGTCTGTCAAAAACAAAAGTCCCCAAACTGAAACAACACCGGCCACCCCGTGGAAAAAAACAGCCCAAGGGCCGGAGGGCCCAAGGCTGCGGAAGGATCATGCTGGTATTTTTAAGCCGCGTTTTATTTTTGCCTCCCTGGCTGAGTAACCCGAGGTGCAGTTGGGTTGTTTTTTGTTAAACTGACAAGTCACAGACCGCTGGGCTGGAACAGAACGGCCGTGTTTTGGGGGGAGGGGGCACAGGTTCAGCCCCAGGGCCTGGCTCCTCACCTCCAGCCACTCAGCACATCTCCCCGCCCCAGGTCGGAGCCAGCAGCCCTGTTCCCAGATGAGGAAACAGGCTGGGAGCAGCGAGGTGCCCGTCCTCTCTGGGCGTCCCCCCTCTGGCTTTACCCAGAGCTGGAGTTTCACCTGCCTGGCCAGGACAGGGAGGCAGAGGCGGCCCCCATGACTGCCCGCAGCCCTGCTCTGTTCCTGCATACCTGCCCTCTGCCCCCGTCCCAGAAACTGAGTCCTAAGGGGAAGCTCTTCCCTGGACCAGATTCGCATAAAACGAGAGAACAGGGGACTCAGTTCTCTCGTTCTTGAGGGAGAACGCTAACCCAGGCCGTTCCCAGCGCGCCTTCGTCCTGCCCCAACCCAGGCTAGCTTTGTCGGGAACGAAGGACCTGCCCGCTGGCCTGGGCTGACATGCCCTGCCTGGGTCCCAGGCAGTACCTGGGCCTGAGTCGGGGGCTTCAGGGATGAAGGGGGAGCGAGTCCCTGGGACCAAGGCTGTTGGAAGCCAGCTCCCCAGACCCTGCCGCGTGCAAGACTCCCATGGGAGTTTGGGTTTTACCACATCCCACGAAGCCAGAGCCCTGAGTCCATTTCTCAGAACAGGAAACCGAGACTCCAAGGGGTGCAGGGGCTGTTCTGGGCTGCTCACGAGGTCAGCGGAGCCCAGAGGACACGGCCTGGTACCCCGTGGCCCATGCCACATTGGTGCAACGCTGGTGTCGTAGGGGACGAAGCAGGTGAAAACGCAGTTGGCTGCAGCTCCTTCCATGGGCTCGCCCGGGCCTGCCCGTCCCCCACAGCAGGCCTCTGTTTCCCAAATGGGAGGGTGGCCCTTGGAAACCAGGGTCCTGGGGAGGCTGGGCACACCCGAGCCTGCGGGAGGGGGCGCGGTCCTGGGCGAACACTGCCTGCAGCCGGTGCACCCCTCCTACCCGCGAGGCCCTTCTTCCTCTCCAGGGCCAGGTGAGAAGGCGACCTCCGTTTCCTCTTCTGTAGGACCAGGGAGTGAGGGACAGAACCCCGCTTCCTGGGTCAGCTTTGGACCGGAGGATCGTGGCCACAGGCGCCGTGCCTTTGCCTCCTGGCTGCCTGGGGAAGGTGTTGGGGATCTTGGCTGGTCCTCAAAAACCGCCTGGCCCTGATTCCAGCCACTTTGATCACTTGAACCCCAGTGGGAGCTTTAAAACACAGCCCCTTGGGGCAGGGCGGAGGCGTGTGTTTTTTTCTGTGGCAAAAGGGTTTGTTGCTGTCGGCTTTTCCGGTTAATGCTGCTGAGCCAGTTAATCTTTAGGGACTTAGTGCCCTGGGTACGGGTGAGCTGGGCAGGAGGGGGGTGGCAGTCCCACACCCCTGGCACCCAGGAGCTGGATCAGCAGTGAGGTGCAGCCTCTCCCCAGCCCCTCCAGCTTCCTGCCGGGCCCCGGGCTCCATTCTGTGTCTTCCTCGACCTGCTGCCTGTCTGAGCCTTGGCTTCCCCTTTGGTCAAGCAAACCCATGCCCAGCCCTGGTAGGGGGACAGTGGGGGCCACCCCCTGCTCCAGGGCCTGCCATGCAGGGCCAGTGCATACACTTGAAACGTGGAGTCAGCCAGGGCTCAGGCATCAGGGGACTCTCCACGTGTCCCCTTGTTGAGTGTAAACCTGTCACTTTTCAGAGCCGAAAGGTAAAGACAACATTGTATGACTGTCAAGAGCTGATAAGTTGCATCCTTTGCCTAAATGGGATACCCCTCCCCCCGGAGCAAACGCAGGGGGAACAGCAGGTTTTCAGGGGCAGGGACTCTGTGCCTGGCGGGGCAGCGGGGTCATAGTTGTCCGGAGTTTTCTCATTCTGGGCGTAGGTGTCCGGGGTGCAGTGTCGCTTGAGGGCACAGCAGGACGGGCCGGACCTAGATGGAGCCCAGTCTCAGGTCCCTGGACGTCCCCAGCTCTGCTCCCTGCCTGGGTTTGAGCCCAGGACTGTAGCGTTTGATTTGCTGCCCGCCCCACTCACCTCTCCCCTCCCCTCCCTGCAGATGTTCCCGCTGCCTGTTACCAACGGGAAGGGCCGGCCCGCCTCCCTGGCCGGGGCGCAGTTCGGAGGTTCAGGTAGGACCCGCCTTCCTGCCGGTGCTCGTGGAGTGAGGAGGTTGAGGGTCTGTTGAAGATAGTGCATGGGGTGAGGGGAGGCTGGGGGCAGCAAAAGAGGGAGACGGTGCAGCAAAGGAGGGAAGTGGCCACAGAGGCCAGGTCAGGCAGCGAGCCTGAGGACCCCTGAAATCAGCTGCCCTTGCCTGTGTGACCTGCCTCGGGAGCCCGAGCCCCTCGTCCCCTTGTCCGTCCGGCGCCTGGAGCCTGGGTCTGGGGGCTGGGTGGGGCTTCCTCTTAAGACCAGGGTTGGAGCTGGGCCTGGGTGTGGGTGGGGATCTTGAGCCTCCGTGTCTCCAGTCAATCCACAAGGGGAAGACAGGCTCTGGAGGGGCGTGGTGTGGGATCCTGGCTTTCACTGGATCCCACCCACTTTGTGAGCCTCGACCGCTTTCATTTAAGCACGTATTAGATGCTCACTGTATGCAGGGTCTAGCACCAGCGTGACCGGCCATTGTGGTTTGCCTAGGACTGAAGGGCAGTTCCTGGGACCTGGGGCTTTGAGTGCTCAAACCAGAAACATGCCAGGCTGACCTGGATGAGCGGGTCGCCCTTGCTGATGACATGGCAGTGGGCGGGACAGATAGGGGAGACGTAGGGTCTGGGGGCGGCCTGCACATCACAATCTGGAGCGTGGGTGGGGCCCCCAGGGAAGGTCTCCGCAGAGTGGGTGTCCTGAGGGTGAGAGGAAGGGGCTGTGGGAGGATGAAGGGAAGAGTTTGCCAGGCAGAGGGAACAGTCCATACGGACACCCTGTGGTGGGACCGGCCGGTGAGGTGGGGTAGGAGGCGCTGTGTTCGTTGCAGGTGCGGCAGGGAGCCCTGGATGGTTGTGAATGGAGAGACGGTCTAGTCTGATGTGCATTTGGGTGGCCCAGGCTGGCTGTCGACAGGATTTGGTGGGGGAGACTGGGGGTGGGTGCCCCCGATGCTGCTTCAGAGCCACGGGTCTCTTTGTGGACATCAGCATCTTTCCGGGGAGTGGGGGCCTCGGGATTGGGGCCTCTGAAGCTGTGTCCTTCCTGCCTCTGGGATCTGGGGAGAAAGTGCCATCTTGCAGTTGTCTCCAGAATCCCCCGGGGGTGGACCCTGGCTGGAGTCTTGGGGTTTTGAGTGGTGGGCAAGGGGGGTCTGTACTTAGGCACCTGCACCCCCGCCCGGAGGGACATCGCTTTGCTGCCCCCACTGCCTCACACTGGCCTTCCCCTCTGCCTGAGGAAGTGGCCGCAGGGCTGGCCAGCATATGCTCCTGAGGCATGGAAATCCCCAAACACCACCCTGCCAGCCCCCCGGAAACAGCCCCAGGAACCGGACATGCTGACGCTTCCCTGTGTGAGACAGAGGGTCAGGCCTTGGGGGCTTCCTGGAGGAGGAGGCGCAGCTACCAGGGCCGTACACCCTCATTCTCCTGGGCCTCTGCCTGGGTTTACAGCAGGGCCTGGTGGGGAGGGTGGGGAGGGTGGGGAGGGATGCGTCTTCCCTCATCCCCTGGCCTCTCTCACCCCCTCAGCCCTGGCGCGGACCCCTAGCTGTGAAACTGGTGCCGGGGTAGCCAGAGCTGTGGTGTGTGGACCGCCTGGTCCTGCGAATGCTACCTCTGGGATTGCCTCTTCCTGGACGCCCAGCCGGGCCCCAACAGGAACCCTGTGAATGTTTGCAGATTGATTTTCTATGGTTCCCACAGAGTCTCGTCCCATTCCCTGGCCCTGCCCAATATTGCAGGCTGGGAGTGTCTCGCCTTGTGCCCCCCACACATCAGGGAGGCTGCGGAGGGCCCACTGAGGCCCAGTATGTTGCATTTCTTGCCTTCGAGAGAGGTGATGTGGCTGCTGCAGCGCAGGACCCCCCAGCGCCTGGACACCGCGGGGTGACCCCGCCCCGTTCAGTCCGTGTATTAACGCCTGCCTGAGCCTGGGGTGGTGCAGGATGCAGAGCCCCAAGGCCTGAGTTGGTGGCACCCTCATCACTGCCTCCACTCCCCCAGGCCCCTGCAGGCTGTAGCGCTGGCCCCAGGTGCGGCCCTTCTGAAGCTCCGGCAAGATGGGCACCTGTTCTGTTCCCTCCTCAGGTTCAGCCAGTCCATGGGTGGGAGTGGCGGAGGGATCCCGGCAGGGCCGGGAGCTGCAGTAACTCATTTCCCCCTCCCGGCTTTTTCTCCAAGGACCCGGGAAGAGAGGAGTTTGGGGCTCATCAGCAGGATGGAGCCCCGGAGCTGTGGGATCCCTTCCCAAACCTTGGCTTCTTCTGGAACAGTGGGTGCAGCTTCCTTCCAGGCGGGGCCCAGTTGGCTTCAGGGACCCCGCGCTGATGGGGTCCCCCAGCCGCGTTCTCCACCTTGGCCCCTTCCTCATGCGTCCTATTCTAGCACCCTTTTTAAGTCACTTTTCTTTTTTTTTTTTTTTTTTGAGACAGAGTCTCTCTTGTCTCCCAGGCTGGAGCGCAGTGGCCGGATCTCGGCTCACTGCAAGCTCCGCCTCCCGGGTTTACGCCATTCTCCCGCCTCAGCCTCCCGAGTAGCTGGGACTACAGGCGCCGGCCACCTCGCCCGGCTAGTTTTTTTATTTTTTAGTAGAGACGGGGTTTCACCGTGTTAGCCAGGATGGTCTCGATCTCCTGACCTCGTGATCCGCCCGTCTCGGCCTCCCAAAGTGCTGGGATTACAGGCTTGAGCCACCGCGCCCGGCCTCACTTTGCTTTTCTTAAATTCATTTGAAAGGAATCTTTAGATTTGAGAACCAGAAACCCAGGCGAGAATGAAAGGTGTCCCTGAAAATTAATTAGACATAAGCTTTACCCTGTGAAAGATCTACCTGTTCTTTGATATTTATTAATATGTAAAAATTGGTGTCGAGAGAGGAGTTAGGTACTGGGCGAGGTGGCTTACGCCTTTAATCCCAGCACTTTGGGAGGCCAAGGCAGGAGGATCACTTGAGGCCAGGAGGTCAAGGCTGCAGTGAGCTGTGATTGAGCCACTGCACTCCTGTGTGGGTGATTGCGAGACCCCAATTCAAACAAACAGAAAAGGGCCGGACACAGTGGTTCTGCCTATAATCCCAGCACTTTGGGGGACCAAGGCAGAAGGATTGCTTGAGCTCAGGAGTTTGGAACCAGCCTGGGTAACACAGCAAAACCCCATCTCTACTAAAAATACAAAACTTAGCTGGGCATGGTGGTGCGCACTTGTGGTCCCACCTACTTGGGAGGCTGAGGCGGGAGGATTGCTGGAGCCTGGGAGGCGGAGGTGGCAGTGAGCTGAGATCACGCCACTGGTCTGCAGCCTGGGTGACAGAGCCAGACCCTGTCTCAAAACAAAAACAAAGCGAAAAAGGCATTAGAGATGAATGAATAGGAAACCAAGATTTTCTGGTTGTCTGGATTGGAAGACATTTAAAACGGGAATAATTTTTATACGCCTTCTCCCACCCACCGCCTCCCATTTTTGGAAACCCTCAGGCACAGGTCCCTGAGTGACAGCTCATCTTCTGCCAAAAAAGACAGGATCTGAGGCCATGAGAGACACCAGGAAATTGCTTATTGACAGACGAAAGGAAAGTTCTTTCCTAGTTTTCATTTCCTGGTCGCTTTCTCTGTCCGTGCGATCGTAAGTTTGACACACGCTCAGAGTGAAAATCCACAGAACGGCACCTGCGGATTCTGATTGAGAGAAAACCCTGGAGGAACCCGGCGCACGAGTTATTTCCTCTGGGCGCGTGTCTGGGAGTGGGATTGCTAGGTCCGTGGATGTGTTTTCACATTGAAAACGTCCCTTGTGAGGTTGGGTGCGGTGGCTCATGCCTGTAATCCCAGCACTTCTGGAGGCTGAGGCGAGAGGCAAGAGGATTACCTGGGGCCAGGAGTGTGAGACTAGCCTGGCCAATGTGGTGACAGCGTGGCATCTCTCATTTAATAGGTGACAAAGATCATGTCCTTTCGCCTGACACTCATTTGATTAATAGAGTGTGGTGGTCTTTTTGGAAGGGGATTGACCCTGTGAATGGCTTTTTGGTGAATTTTCTGTTACTCTCTTGAGCCCTCGTCCTTGAAGTTGATCCGTTTTTTATTCTGAAGTCATTCAGGATTCACGGGAAGTGGCAGAGTGTTCGCCTCTCACCCAGCTACCCGCAGTCCAGCCACCTGCAGTCTGGCCACCCCCAGCCCAGCCACCCCCAACCCAGCCACCCCAGGGGTACTGTCCCACCCGCCCATGGTGCCGCATCAGACCTGGGAAGCCGACGTGGGTGCCATCCACAGATCCTCGTCAGATTCCACTGGCTTTACACGCACGTGTGTGTGTGTAGTTCTGTGCAGTTTTGAGATATGCACTTTCCTTAAGCCCAGGAATCAGCAATCTGTTCTTCATCTCTACAATTTTTTTTTTTAAGACCGGGTCTCACTCTTAAAAAAAGTGAGTGCACTGGAGTGCAGTGGTGCAGTCATAACACACTGTAGCCTTGAACTTCTGGGCTCAAGTGATCCTCCCACCTCAGCCTTGTGAGCAGCTGGGACCACCTAGCTAATTAAAAAATGTATATATTTTGTAGAGGGCTGGGTCAGCAACTCACACTAGTAATCCCAGCACTTTGGGAGGTCGAGATGGGAGGATCACCAGAGCCCAGGAGTTCAAGACCAGCCTGGGCAACAGGGAGAAACCCTTTCTCTGTTTAAAAAAAAAAAAAAAAAAATTTCAACTGGGTGTGGTGGCTCACACCTATCATCCCAGCATTTCGGGAGGCCAGGGTGGGTGGATCAGTTGAGACCAGGAGTTCAGGACCAGCGTAGTCAACATGGTGAAAACCCCCGTCTCTACTAAAAATAACAAAAATTAGCTGGGCGTGGTGGTGCATGCCTGTAATCCCAGCTATTCAGGTGGCTAAGGCATGAAAAGGACTTGAACCTGGGAGGCGGAGGTTGCAGTGAGCTGAGATTGCGCCACTGCACTCCGGCCGGGGGGACAGAGGGAGA